ATATTTGAGATTCTTCAAATAGCCACCCTTTGCCTTGATGGCAGCTTTGCACACTCTTGGCATTCTCTCAACCAGCTTCATGAGGTAGTCACCTGGAATGCATTTAAATTAACAGGTGTGCCTTCTTAAAAATTTATTTGTGGAATTTCTTTCCTTCTTAATGCGTTTGAGCCAATCAGTTGTGTTGTGACAAGGTAGGGGGGGTATACAGAAGATAACCCTATTTGGTAAAAGACCAAGTCCATATTATGGCAAGAACAGGTCAAATAAGCAAAGAGAAACGACAATCCATCATTACTTTAAGACATGAAGGTCAGTCAATACGGAACATTTCAAGAACTTTGAAAGTTTCTTCAAGTGCAGTTGCAAAAACCATCAAGCACTATGATGAAACTGGCTCTCATGAGGACTGCCACAGGAATGGAAGACCCAGAGTTACCTCTGCTGCAGAGGATAAGTTCATTAGAGTCACCAGCCTCAGAAATTTCATCCCAAATAAATGCTTTACAGAGTTCAAGTATCAGACACATCTCAACATCAACTGTTCAGAGGGGACTGTGTGAATCAGGCCTTCATGGTCAAATTGCTGCAAAGAAACCACTACTGAAGGACACCAATAAAAATAATAGACCTGCTTGGGTCAAGAAACATGAGCAATGGACATTAGACCGGTGGAAATGTGTCCTTTGGTCTGGAGTCCAAATTTGAGATTTTTGGTTCCAACCGCTGTGTCTTTGTGAGACGCGTGTGGGTGAATGGATGATCTCTGCATGTGTAGTTCCCACCGTAAAGCATGGAGGAGGAGGTGTTATGGTGTGGGGGTGCTTTGCTGGTGACACTGTCTGTGATTTATTTAGAATTCAAGGCACACTTAACCAGCATGGCTACCACAGCATTCTGCAGCGATACGCCATCCCATCTGGTTTGGGCTTAGTGGGACTATCATTTGTTTTTCAACAGGACAATGACCCAACACACCTCCAGGCTGTGTAAGGACTATTTTACCAAGAAGGAGAGTGATGGAGTGCTGCGTCAGATGACCTTGCCTCCACAATCCCCCCAACCTCAACCCACTTGAGATGGTTTGGGATGATTCGGACCACATAGTGAAGGAAAAGCAGCCAAGAAGTGCTCAGCATATGTGGGAACTCCTTCAAGACTATTAGAAAAGCATTCCAGGTGAAGCTGGTTGCGAGAATGACTGTCATGTGCGACGTGAATGCGGTAGGCGAAGTCAAACGCAGGACACCGAGCTACTGGAAACATACTTTACTCAAAAGTAACCAGAGTACAAACAACCTCCAAACAGGGAGGAAAATAACCCGCACAATAAGCTACTGCCGAATGACGAAAACAATCACACACAATACACAATGAAAGACAGAGGGTTATATAGGGAATACAATACAACATCATTGGGAACAGGTGTACACAATCAAGACCAAACAAGACAAACACCGAAACATAGATCGGTAGCAGCTAGTACTCCGGGGACGACGAACGCCGAAGCCTGCCCGAGCAAGGAGGAGGGGCAGCCTCGGCTGAATCCGTGACAATGCCAAGAGTGTGCAAAGCTGTCATCAAGGCAAAGGGTGGCTATTTGAAGAATCTCAAATATAAAATATGTTTTGATTTGTTTAACACTTTTTTGGTTACTACATGATTCCATATGTGTTATTTCATAGTTTTGATGTCTTCATTATTATTCTACAATATAAAAAATAGTAAAAATAAAGAAAAGCCCTTGAATGAGTAGGTGTGTCCAATCTTTTGACTGGTAGTGTATGGTTTTGTAGCAGGATTCAAAGTGAATTGGGAGAAAAATCCAATTTTGCCAATTTCTTATTTTGACTTTTCAAGTTTCAGTGGACATGGACAAAGACACATTAAATACCTGGATTTATTGATGCCATGCAATTTGGAGGAGGCCTATAAAATCAAGTACTCTCCTTTACTAGTTAAGATTGAATCCGATTTTCAGAGATGGAGAACTCTCCCTATTTCTATGTTAGGTAGGGTCCAACTTCTTTAGGAATATAAATTGCCTACTCTGGAAAGACCTCGAGTCAAATGTAATGTTTTACACTTACCTTATAAAGCTGGAGGTTTTGGCATAAATAAATGGCCTACTCTCCAACTTTATTTGGAATGGAAAGACCTCTAGTCAAATGTAATGTTTTGGCCTACCTCATATGAAAATATATTACTGGGCCACACAACTGCTTTCACTTAAACAATGGCCAGCAGACTAGTATTGAAGCCATACATTTAAAATACAGTATATCCACTACTTTGGGTCCAAGGCTTTAAAGAAAAAACAGACAATCCAATGATTTTCAATTCAATTTTTATTTGGGAAAATTTACATAAATTCATGAAATGGAAGAAACCCATATCGCCAGGCACCCCTATTTGGAACAAACTGACATTACCGCAAGTATTTAATGACCTTTTAAAGTCCTGGTTCCAAAGTGGCATCATGCATTTTGAGCATATTTTCTATAAATAATGTGTTCTAATATAGAACCCCCTCTCCCCCAAAAAAGCATGCAAAAAATATAAAAGAAAAAGTAGGCCATTACCACTTTAAGAATAATGAATTTTTTAGGCCTTGATATTCAAATTATTATTACATTCTAAAATATGTGAGAATCATGTGGACATTGCCTGACTTAATAGACTGGATGCATGCATGCCGATTTTTCTGTAACCTATGTGGCTGACGCAGGCACACATAATAACGTCTTGAATGCAGTAGCATTAATCTCACCATCGCTGTTTTTATAATGAGAAAGTAACCACAACCCAGATTACTTTTTTAATGGAAGGATTTGTATCGAAAGCCAAGTTGAAGCCAACATTAGATTTTGGCTTCATAATAACCAGTGTAAGTAGCGCAACACCCTTCAATTGTGAAGTGGCGGGAAACAAACGAAAGTGGCCACATCACATAAAAAATGAAATCACAGATCATTATAAGGGAGCAGAAGAACTTATAAATTGGCTACAATAATTTAAAAATGTATAGCTATCAATTGGAAAGCATCATACTCGGCTTCAATAAGGGCTGAATTACTGTATGTAGTTACATTCCACTAGATTCTGTGTTTTATAAAGTTAAGCAGAAAAATACATGTTTTTTAAAAATCTGGAAACCTTATATTGACCAAGTTAAAGAATGTAACATTTCCACATGAGAAAAATGTGAACAAATGTAGGCATGTTGTGTTGTATATCAAGCATAGTAATTGTGTTGTTTTGTTTCTGTTTGTGTTTAATTTTTGCTTAGTTGTTTGTACTTATATATGTATATATACAGTGAAGGAAAAAAGTATTTGATCCCCTGCTGATTTTGTATGTTTGCCCACTGACAAAGACATGATCAGTCTATAATTTTAATGGTAGGTTTATTTGAACAGTGAGAGACAGAATAACAACAAAAAAATCCAGAAAAAAACGCATGTCAAAAATGTTATGAATTGATTTGCATTTTAATGAGGGAAATAAGTATTTGACCCCTCTGCAAAACATGACTTAGTACTTGGTGGCAAAACCCTTGTTGGCAATCACAGAGGTCAGATGTTTCTTGTAGTTGGCCACCAGGTTTGCACACATCTCAGGAGGGATTTTGTCCCACTCCTCTTTGCAGATCTTCTCCAAGTCATTAAGGTTTCGAGGCTGACGTTTGGCAACTCAAACCTTCAGCTCCCTCCACAGATTTTCTATGGGATTAAGGTCTAGAGACTGGCTAGGCCACTCCAGGACCTTAATGTGCTTCTTCTTGAGCCACTCCTTTGTTGCCTTGGCCGTGTGTTTTGGGTCATTGTCATGCTGGAATACCCATCCACGACCCATTTTCAATGCCCTGGCTGAGGGAAGGAGGTTCTCACCCAAGATTTGACGGTACATGGCCCCGTCCATCGTCCCTTTGATATGGTGAAGTTGTCCTGTCCCCTTAGCAGAAAAACACCCCCAAAGCATAATGTTTCCACCTCCATGTTTGACGGTGGGGATGGTGTTCTTGGGGTCATAGGCAGCATTCCTCCTCCTCCAAACACGGCGAGTTGAGTTGATGCCAAAGAGCTCGATTTTGGTCTCATCTGACCACAACACTTTCACCCAGTTCTCCTCTGAATCATTCAGATGTTCATTGGCAAACTTCAGACGGGCCTGTATTTGTGCTTTCTTGAGCAGGGGGACCTTGCGGGCGCTGCAGGATTTCAGTCCTTCACGGCGTAGTGTGTTACCAATTGTTTTCTTGGTGACTATGGTCCCAGCTGTCTTGAGATCATTGACAAGATCCTCCCGTGTAGTTCTGGGCTGATTCCTCATCGTTCTCATGATCATTGCAACTCCACGAGGTGAGATCTTGCATGGGGCCCCAGGCCGAGGGAGATTGACAGTTATTTTGTGTTTCTTCCATATGCGAATAATCGCACCAACTGTTGTCACCTTCTCACCAAGCTGCTTGGCGATGGTCTTGTAGCCCATTCCAGCCTTGTGTAGGTCTACAATCTTGTCCCTGACATCCTTGGAGAGCTCTTTGGTCTTGGCCATGGTGGAGAGTTTGGAGTCTGATTGATTGATTGCTTCTGTGGACAGGTGTCTTTTATACAGGTAACAAACTGAGATTAGGAGCACTCCCTTTAAGAGTGTTCTCCTAATCTCAGCTCGTTACCTGTATAAAAGACACCTGGGAACTAGAAATCTTTCTGATTGAGAGGGGGTCAAATACTTATTCCCTCATTAAAATGCAAATCAATTTATAACATTTTTGACATGCGTTTTTCTGGATTTTTTGTTGTGTTATTCTGTCTCTCACTGTTCAAATAAACCTACCATTAAAATTATAGACTGATAATTTCAGCAGGGGATCAAATACTTTTTTCCCCTCACTGTGTATATATATATATATAAAGAGTAATGTCTATGTACTAATCTGTGTTTAGGTAAATGGTTAAACTATCCTATACTGTTTTTTAATGTTTGTGTTTTGGTTGTGTGTGTTATCCACAGGTAGACACCATGAACTACGTGGGCCAGCTGGCAGGCCAGGTGTTGGTGACTGTGAAGGAGCTGTATAAGGGCATCAACCAGGCCACACTGTCAGGCTGCATCGACGTGGTAGTGGTCAGACAGCCTGACGGGACCTTCCACTGCTCCCCCTTCCACGTACGCTTTGGGAAACTGGGCGTGCTGCGCTCCAAGGAGAAAGTGGTGAGTTTTGGGGATAACTGATAGAGAGAGGTCAGAGTTTTTTCTGCATAGAAAATTAGTTTTTTCAGGCCGCCTATGTCCAAACAGTAAAAAATAATCATACATAATTTTGAAAATAATTTTCAGTGTAAACTTAAACGACTAAAAACAGATATAAAGTACACTACCGGTCGAACGTTTTAGAACACCTACTCATTCAAGGGTTTTTCTTTATTTTTACTATTTTCTACGTTGTAGAATAATAGTAAAGACATCAAAACTATGAAATAACACATATGGAATCATGTAGTAACCAAAAAAGTGTTAAACAAATGAAAATATATGTTATACAGTGAGGGAAAAAAGTATTTGATCCCCTGCTGATTTTGTACGTTTGCCCACTGACAAAGACACGATCAGTCTATAATTTTAATGGTAGTTTTATTTGAAAAGTGAGAGACAGAATAACAACAAAAAAATCCAGAAAAATGCATGTCAAAAATTTTATAAATTGATTTGCATTTTAATGAGGGAAATAAGTATTTGACCCCTCTGCAAAACATGACTTAGTACTTGGTGGCAAAACCCTTGTTGGCAATCACAGAGGTCAGATGTTTCTTGTAGTTGGCCACCAGGTTTGCACACATCTCAGGAGGGATTTTGTCCCACTCCTCTTTGCAGATCTTCTCCAAGTCATTAAGGTTTCGAGGCTGACGTTTGGCAACTCGAACCTCCAGCTCCCTCTACAGATTTGCTATGGGATTAAGGTCTGGAGACTGGCTAGGCCACTCCAGGACCTTAATGTGCTTCTTCTTGAGCCACTCCTTTGTTGCCTTGGCCATGTGTTTTGGGTCATTGTCATGCTGGAATACCCATCCACGACCCATTTTCAATGCCCTGGCTGAGGGAAGGAGGTTCTCACCTAAGATTTGACGGTACATGGCCCCATCCATCGTCCCTTTGATGCGGTGAAGTTGTCCTGTCCCCTTAGCAGAAACCCCCCCCCCCCCCCAAAGCATAATGTTTCCACCTCCATGTTTGACGGTGGGGATGGTGTTCTTGGGGTCATAGGCAGCATTCCTCCTCCTCCAAACACAGCGAGTTGAGTTGATGGCAAAGAGCTCGATTTTGGTCTCATCTGACCACAACACTTTCACCCAGTTCTCCTCTGAATCATTCAGATGTTCATTGGCAAACTTCAGACGGGCCTGTATATGTGCTTTCTTGAGCAGGGGGACCTTGCGGGCGGTGCAGGATTTCAGTCCTTCACGGCGTAGTGTGTTACCAATTGTTTTCTTGGTGACTATGGTCCCAGCTGCCTTGAGATCATTGACAAGATCCTCCCGTGTAGTTCTGGGCTGATTCCTCACCGTTCTCATGATCATTGCAACTCCACGAGGTGAGATCTTGCATGGAGCCCCAGGCCGAGGGAGATTGACAGTTATTTTGTGTTTCTTCCATTTGCGAATAATCGCACCAACTGTTGTCACCTTCTCACCAAGCTGCTTGGCGATGGTCTTGTAGCCCATTCCAGCCTTGTGTAGTTCTATAATCTTGTCCCTGACAACCTTGGAGAGCTCTTTGGTCTTGGCCATGGTGGAGAGTTTGGAATCTGATTGATTGCTTTTGTGGACAGGTGTCTTTTATACAGGTAACAAACTGAGATTAGGAGCACTCCCTTTAAGAGTGTGCTCCTAATCTCAGCTCGTTACCTATATAAAAGACACCTGGGAGCCAGAAATATTTCTGATTGAGAGGGGGTCAAATACTTATTTCCCTCATTAAAATGCAAATCAATTTATAACATTTTTGACATGCGTTTTTCTGGAGTTTTTTGTTGTTATTCTGCCTCTTACTGTTCAAATAAACCTACCATTAAAACTATAGACTGATCATTTCTTTGTCAGTGGGCAAACGTACAAAATCAGCAGGGGATCAAATACTTTTTTCCCTCACTGTATTTGCAATTCTTCAAATAGCCACCCTTTGCCTTGATGACAGCTTTGCACACTCTTGGCATTCTCTCAACCAGCTTCACCTGGAACGCTTTTCCAACAGTCTTAAAGGATTTCCCACATATGCTGAGCAGTTGTTGGCTGCTTTTCCTTCACACTGCGGTCAGACTCATCCCAAACCATCTCAATTTGGTTGATGTCAGGGATTGTGGAAGCCAGGTCATCTGATGCAGCACTCCATCACTCTCCTTCTAGGTAAAATAGCCCTTCCACAGCCTGGAGGTGTGTTGGGTCATTGTCCTGTTGAAAAACAAATGATAGTCCCACTAAGCCCAAATCAGATGGGATGGCGTATTGCTGCAGAATGCTGTGGTAGCCATGCTGGTTAAGTGTGCCTTGAATTCTAAATAAATCACAGACAGTGTCACCAGCAAAGCACCCCCACACCATAACACCTCCTCCTCCATGCTTTACGGTGGGAACTACACATGCGGAGATCATCCGTTCACCCACACCGCGTCTCACAAAGACACAGCGGTTGGAACTAAAAATCTCAAATTTCCACCGGTCTAATGTCCATTGCTCATGTTTCTTGTCCCAAGCAAGTCTCTTCTTCTTATTGGTGTCCGTTAGTAATGGTTTCTTTGCAGCAATTCGACCATGAAGGCCTGATTCACACAGTCTCCTCTGAACAGTTGAGTTGTGTCTGTTACTTGAACTCTGTGAAGCATTTATTTGGGCTGCAATTTCTGAGGCTGGTAACTCTAATAAACTCTGGGTCTTCCATTCCTGTGGCGGTCCTCATGAGATCCAGTTTCATCATAGTGCTTGATGTTTTTTGCGACTGCACTTGAAGAAACCTTCAAAGGTCTTGAAATGTTCCGTATTGACTGACCTTCATGTCTTAAAGTAATGATGGACTGTCGTTTCTCTTTGCTTTTTTGAGCTGTTCTTTCCATAATATGGACGTGGTCTTTTACCAAATAGGGCTATCTTCTGTATACCACCCCTACCTTGTCACAACACAACTGATTGGCTCAAACGCATTAAGAAGGAAAGAAATTCCACAAATTAACTTTTAAGAAGGCACACCTGTTAATTGAAATTCATTCCAGGTGACTACCTCATGAAGCTGGTTGAGAGAATGCCAAGAGTGTGCAAAGCTGTCATCAAATCAAAGGGTGGCTATTTGAACAATCTCAAATCTCAAATATATTTTGTTTAACACTTTTTTGGTTACTACATGATTCCATATGTGTTATTTCGTAGTTCTGATGTCTTCACTATTATTTTACAATGTAGAAAATAGTAAATATAAAGAAAAACCCTTGAATGAGTAGGTGTTCTAAAACTTTTGACCGGTAGCGTACGTAGAAAAGATAATGGACCTATATATTTTTAAATAAGATCATCTTGAGAACCAACAATTTTGTCACTGCGGCCAACAGGCGGGCCTCTAATATTTCCAGACCAAAACACTTGCTGTGAAAGGTATGTAGGGTTGCAAAATTCGGATCATTTTGCAACAAATGTAAGGTTCCTGGAATTAGGAAGGAATAAGCGGGAAATACAGCATCATCCAACCAGGATTTCTGAAAACCTTGGAATTTTGGGAAAGTTAACCGAATTTTGTAACCCCAGTGAAAAAATTCCCAGAGCTAAATCCACCCATTTTACCAGACACTTTATCCAGCGCAACTAGGGTCAAGTACCTTGCTCAAGGGCACATCGACAGAGCTTTCACCTAGTTGGCTTGGGGATTTGAACCAGTGACCTTTCAGTTACTGGTCCAATGCGCTTAACCGCTAGGCTACGTGCCGCCTGCCTAGAATCTTTCTTACACCTTGCTACTGTATTCCGCATCATCTCTGGCAGATGGAAGGATGTTGAAAACCTTTGTCTAGGTCTGTAATGGCAGTTTAGTATTACAGGGTTCCATTTGCTTGTTCGCTCTATCACATCCAATACTGACGTGTAATTAGGGCCCTTTCATGTTGCTGTGTGGAAATGCTGCTGCTTGACACAGATCCAGGTATAAAGAAGTCCTTCTGAGAGAGCAGTTGAGAGTGAATGTGGGGAGGACGACCAGCCCAGCTCATCCTCCCGAGACACTGGGGTTGCATCTCAAATGGCACCTTATTCCCTATTTAGTGCACTACTTTTGACCAGGACCCATAGGGATCTGGTCAAAAGTAGTGAACTAAATAGGTAATAGGGTGTCATTTGGGACAGAGGCAGGAGCACCGCTGTACCGCTACTGCTCGCCTCAGTCACTATGGCAACACAGTTTTAGATTTTCCTCTGCATAGGGGAGGAGAGATGGCCTTGATACAGTACAGAGAGGAATGTAACATAACAGTGTGGGAGGACTGACACAGCATCAGGCAATGGATTTGGTGATGATGCTATCTTTTATAAGATCCTTTGAAAACTCATATAGCTACTGCACTGGTTGTATTATTGATGGACATACAAATATATATCCTTTACAGTGCCTTGCAAAAGTATTTATCCCCTTTGGCGTTTTTCCTATTTTGTTGCTGCAAAGCTCCACAGCGGAGATTGGAGTATCTGTCCATAGGACCACTTTAAGCCGTACACTCCACAGAGCTCGGCTTTACGGAAGAGTGGCCAGAAAAAAGCCATTGCTTGAAGAAAATAATAAGCAAACACGTTTGGTGTTCGCCAAAAGGCATGTGGGAGACTCCCCAAACATATGGAAGAAGGTACTCTGGTCAGATGAGACTAAAATTGAGCTTTTTGGCCTTCAGGGAAAACGCTATGTCTGGTGCAAACCCAACACCTCTCATCACCCCGAGAACACCATCCCCACAGTGAAGCATGGTGGTGGCAGCATCATGCTGTGGGGATGTTTTTCATCAGCAGGGACTGGGAAACTGGTCAGAATTGAAGGAATGATGGATGGCACTAAATACAGGGAAATTCTTGAGGGAAACCTGTTTCAGTCTTCCAGAGATTTGAGACTGGGATGGAGGTTCACCTTCCAGCAGCACAATGACCCTAAGCATACTGCTAAAGCAACACTCGACTCCCGAGCAATACCTCCCGAGTGGCGCAGTGGTCTAAGGCTCTAGTGGCTGTGCCACTTGAGATCCTGGTTTGAATCCAGGCTCTGTCGTAGCAGGCTGCAACCGGGAGACCCATGGGGCGGCGCACAATTGGACCAGCGTCATCCAGGGTAGGGGAGGGAATGGCCTGCAGGGATGTAGCTCAGTTGGTAGAGCATGGCGTTTGCAACGCCAGAGTTGTGGTTTCGATTCCCACGGGGGGCCAGTATAAAAAATAATAATGTATGCACTCACTAACTGTAAGTTGCTCTGGATAAGAGTGACTGTAAATGTAAAAATGTTTAAGGGGAAACATTTAAATGTCTTGGAATGGCCTAGTCAAAGCCCAGACCTCAATCCAATTGAGAATCTGTGGAACCCATCCAACTTGAAGGAGCTGTAGCAGTTTTGCCTTCAAGAATGGGCAAAAATCCCAGTGGCTAGATATGCCAAGTTTATAGAGACATACACAGAGAGACTTGCAGCTGTAATTGCTGCAAAAGGTGGCTCTACAAAGTATTGACATTGGGGGGGTGAATAGTTATGCAAGCTCAGGTTCTGTTTTTTTGTCTTATTTCTTGTTTGTTTCACAATAAAAAATATTTTGCGTCTTGAAAGTGGTAGGCATGTTGTTTAAATCAAATGATACAAACCCCAAAAAAATCTATTTTAATTCCAGATTGTAAGGCAACAAAATAGGAAAAATGCCAAGGGGGGTGAATACTTTCGCAAGCCACTGTACATAAAACATTTAACATTTTCTTCCTTTACTGAAACAGACCATTATCACTTTGTCTGCGTCCCAAATGGCATCCTATTTCCTACATAGTGCATTTCTTTTGACCAGAGCCCTATGGGGGCCTCTACACAGGCAGCCCAATTCTAAGTGTCTTTTGACCAATCACATCAGATCTTTTCACATCAGATGTTTTTCAGAAAAAATATCAGAATTGGGCTGCCTGTGTGAACTTAGCCTAAGACTGCAAGCAAGTTTATACACTGAACAAATATATAAACGCAACATATAAAGTGTTGGTCCCATGTTTCATGAGCTGAAATAAAACCTCCCAGAAACTTTCAATACGCACCAAAAGCTTATTTCCCTCAAATGTTGTGTACACATTTGTTTACATCCCTGTTAGTGAGCATGCCAAGATAATCCATCCACCTGACAGGTGTGGCATATCAAGAAGCTGATTAAACAGCATGATCATTACACAGGTGCACCTTGTGCTGGGGACAGTAAAAGGCCACTCTAAAATGTGCAGTTTTGTCACACAACACAATGCCACAGATGTCTCAAGTTTTGATGGAGTGTGTGATTGGCACGCTGACTGCAGGAATGTCCACCAGAGCTGTTGCCAGAGAATTTTGTATTCATTTCTCTACCACAAGCCGCCTCCAACATCGTTTTAGAGAATTTGGCATTACGTCAAACTGGCCTCACAACAGCAGACCACGTGTATGGCGTCGTGTGGGCGAGCGGTTTGCTGATGTCAACGTTGTGAACAGAGTGCCCCATGGTGGCATTGGGGTTATGGTATGGGCAGCCATAAGCTACGTACAACAAACACAATTGCATTTTATCAATGGCAATTTGAATGCACAGAGATACGGTGATGAGATCTTGAGGCCCATTGTCGTGCCATTTATCCACGCCATCACCTCATGTTTCAGCATGATAATGCACTGCCCCATGTCGCAAGGATCTGTACACAATTCCTGGAAGCTGAAAATGGCCCAGTTCTTCCATGGCCTGCATACTCACCAGACATGTCACCCATTGAGCATGTTTGGGATGCTCTGGATCGACATGTACGACAGTGTGTTCCAGTTCCACAGCCATTGAAGAGGAGTGGGACAACATTCTACAGACCACAATCAACAGCCTGATCAACTCTATGCGAAGGAGATGTGTCGCGCTGCATGAGGCAAATGGTGGTCACCCCAGATACTGACTGGTTTTCTGATCCACGCCCCTTTTTAAGGTATCTGTGACCAACAGATGTATATCTGTATTCCCAGTCATGTGAAATCCATAGATTAGGGCCTAATTCATTTATTTTAATTGACTGATTTCCTTATATGAACTGTAACTCAGTAAAGTCTTTGAAATTGTTGCATGTTTCGTTTTAATATTTTTGTTCAGTATAAATGCCCTGGTTATTATAAAGTGTTAGGGGCTGTATATTTCAAGCTTCTGAGAGTAGGAGTGCTCCCCAGGCCATGGGCAAAACTGATCCTAAATCAGCACTCCTAGTCTGAGACAATTGATACATATGGCCCCAGAGTTCCTCCATAAATGGATGCCTGACCTGTCCTTTACCTCTGCAGATTGACATTGAGATCAATGGAGAACCAGTGGAGTTGCACATGAAGCTGGGGGACAACGGAGAGTCTTTCTTTGTACAGGAAACCGAGCAGCATAATGTAAGTTTTATAAGTTTTATAATCGGTCTAATGACAACCACTGTTGACACAGCTTATTACTGACTATGTATGTGTCCCAAATGACACCCTATTCCCTAATACGTGCACTTATTTTGAGCAAATGTAGTGCATCATGTAGGGAATAGGGTACCATTGGGGATGCAGTCTATAACGTGATCTTGTTGTGACTCGTTGTCTCTTTGTCACCCCGACCCAGGAGATAATCCCTGCCCACCTTGTGACGTCGCCAATCCCCACAGAGGAGACTCTGTGGAGGGGCAGAGAGTCCAGAGCTGGGGGGTCGGGCCTGGAGGGTGGGCTGCAGCCGCCCCATGGGGACTCAGAGGATCCAGCCTCCTCCTCGATCCCCCTCCTTCCCCCAAGCACCACAGCAGGGAAGAAGAAGAAGAGACGCAGGAGGAAGCACAAAGCAGACCCCCGTAAGGAGGAGCAACAGGCCTCCACTGCTGGTGGTGAGGAGGTCTGTGAGCTGAGCTCAGACGAGGAGCACGGTACACACAACAACGGCAGGTAACTGGACAGAGGAGTAGGGTGTAGTTGCCCCTAGATGCGGATCTTGAGCAGTTCACCCCCCCACACTAATGGTTAAGGATTGGGGGAGGGGAACCTGATCCTAGATCTGTACCTACGGGAACCTTCACCCAGAGCTAATTGGACAGACAGAGGGGGCTGATGGGGGCTCAATGACTCCATGGGCACACTCTCAGGTTGTGTCTGGGTGGGTCTGCTCTGCACAGTGTGTGTAGAGACTAGGGAGTGTTAACACTGTGGTCAATGGGGGGATCTTCTTCACTCCCTCAGGGCCTCCTCGTTCTCTACAGTGAAGGACTCAGTGGAACACAGGCAGCACCCTACCCTCCACTCCCTGGACAGCTACCCCTTCTCTGATGGAGACTGGTCTCCCGGCGACAGCCACAGGTATGACCCCCTCACTCAGTCACTCAGTCAATAACTTCCTAATCAAATATTTACACAGATAATGCAAACAGTCAGGATCATTAGGAATATTTTTTATTTCCTTAGGATTTAACAAAACAAATCTAGCGTCAATCTAGTGCACCTGATTCTAATAATTAGCTGGTTGATAAGCTGAATCAGGTTAGTTACAACTGGGGTTGGATTGAAAACTTACAGGAGGGTAGCTCTCCAGGAACAGGGTTGGAGAGCCCTGATCTAAGGCGTGTTATAGAGCAGTACACTGGACAGCCGTCAATGCGCCTTTTATTTTAAAGGTAATGTTCCTGACGTCGGCTCAAGCTTCAATTATCTTAAAAGGCGCATTGTCGAATGTACAGTGTATTGCTCTATAACACGCCTTGGACTGAATCCCAGCTTAGGTAGATATAAATAAAAATGCTAGCACGAACATTGATAAAATAGCCCTGTGGAGCTGTGAATACATGTCCTCTTGTGGTCAAAGTAAATGTATTGTGCTGTTTTCTCGATTGCAACAGATCCCCAAGATCCCTGTCTGAGCCCATGTCTCCAAAGAGTGACTCAGAGCTGATGGTGAAGTCATCAGAGAGCATGCTCAGAGCAGATTCACACATGCAGTGGTCTTGGGGAGAGTTCCCAGAATCCACCAGGGTAAGGCCTAGGTCTTGCGTTTCAAATGGCACTCTATTCCATATATAGAGATGGAAACATGCCAAACATTTTATAATATGAAATCCCTATACCCACTGATTTCATATTGACTCTCTTTTTGTCCAGGTCAGTAAGAAAGAGCGCTCGGAGCTGCCTAAGACGGTGACTATCACCCCATCAGAGAGCACCCACTTCAGGGTCATCCTCAGCTCTGAGGCCATGGAGGTGGAGGCTGGGGGACTGCACACCTCTCTGGACCCGGTGTGTGGACCTGCCATCGTCAAACCAGAGCCCCGGACCCTCAAACAAAATACCCTCCACAGCTCCAAACACCAACCACCCGACCCTCTATCTGAACCCCATCATCCCCCCAAACCCATTCATGACCATTGTCCACCCCAACCTGAACCATGTCCCCTCAAACCAGAACCAGGTGCTCTAACGTCAGAGCCCAGTCCAGACCTCTGTATCCTGGCCAAGCCTGAACGGAGTGCCCATTGGACCACTCCTCCCAGGGTGCTTGATTCCAGCCAGAGGGACAGTGGCTCTGCTGCCTGTGGGGCCAGTTGCATGGCCGGGGACCTGGGATCCATCGACTCCAAGACTGACTCCCCCTCCAAGAGGAAAGGTACTAATTGTGCTTGTAATAGCAACTGAAAGTATTTTAAAAACCAAATTGAACGTATGCATAGATGGTTTATATAAATAGCTTATTGATCAAGTATAACACATGACTTAGGCCTTTATAAGGCTTCTGGCTTACTTGCTTATGGCAGCACAATGTGCCGGATGATGGCATGTATGTACAGTGGGGAAAAAAAGTATTTAGTCAGCCACCAATTGTGCAAGTTCTCCCACTTAAAAAGATGAGAGAGGCCTGTAATTTTCATCATAGGTTCACGTCAACTATGACAGACAAATTGAGGAAAAAAAATCCAGAAAATCACATTGTAGGATTTTTAATGAATTTATTTGCAAATTATGGTGGAAAATAAGTATTTGGTCACCTACAAACAAGCAAGATTTCTGGCTCTCACAGACCTGTAACTTCTTCTTTAAGAGGCTCCTCTGTCCTCCACTCGTTACCTGTATTAATGGCACCTGTTTGAACTTGTTATCAGTATAAAAGACACCTGTCCACAACCTCAAACAGTCACACTCCAAACTCCACTATGGCCAAGACCAAAGAGCTGTCAAAGGACACCAGAAACAAAATTGTAGACCTGCACCAGGCTGGGAAGACTGAATCTGCAATAGGTAAGCAGCTTGGTTTGAAGAAATCAACTGTGGGAGCAATTATTAGGAAATGGAAGACATACAAGACCACTGATAATCTCCCTCGATCTGGGGCTCCACGCAAGATCTCACCCCGTGGGGTCAAAATTATCACAAGAACGGTGAGCAAAAATCCCAGAACCACACGAGGGGACCTAGTGAATGGCCTGCAGAGAGCTGGGACCAAAGTAACAAAGCCTACCATCAGTAACACACTACGCCGCCAGGGACTCAAATCCTGCAGTGCCAGACGTGTCCCCCTGCTTAAGCCAGTACATGTCCAGGCCCGTCTGAAGTTTGCTAGAGTGCATTTGGATGATCCAGAAGAGGATTGGGAGAATGTCATATGGTCAGATGAAACCAAAATATAACTTTTTGGTAAAAACTCAACTCGTCGTGTTTGGAGGACAAAGAATGCTGAGTTGCATCCAAAGAACACCATACCTACTGTGAAGCATCGGGGTGGAAACATCATGCTTTGGGGCTGTTTTTCTGCAAAGGGACCAGGACGACTGATCCGTGTAAAGGAAAGAATGAATGGGGCCATGTATCGTGAGATTTTGAGTGAAAACCTCCTTCCATCAGCAAGGGCATTGAAGATGAAACGTGGCTGGGTCTTTCAGCATGAAAATGATCCCAAACACACAGCCCGGGCAACGAAGGAGTGGCTTCGTAAGAAGCATTTCAAGGTCCTGGAGTGGCCTAACCAGTCTCCAGATATCAACCCCATAGAAAATCTTTGGAGGGAGTTGAAAGTCTGTGTTGCCCAGCGACAGCCCCAAAACATCACTCTAGAGGAGATATGCATGGAGGAATGGGCCAAAATACCAGCAACAGTGTGTGAAAACCTTGTGAAGACTTACAGAAAACGTTTGACCTGTGTCATTGCCAACAAAGGGTATATAACAAAGTATTGAGAAACTTTTGTTATTGACCAAATACTTATTTTCCACCATAATTTGCAAATAAATTCATTAAAAATCCTACAATGTGATTTTCTGGATTTTTTTTCCTCAATTTGTCTGTCATAGTTGACGTGAACCTATGATGAAAATTACAGGCCTCTCTCATCTTTTTAAGTGGGAGAACTTGCACAATTGGTGGCTGACTAAATACTTTTTTTCCCCACTGTATATGGTGGATTGGAAGTGATGCAGACAATTACATTGATGGAAGCTACAATCTATCTGCAATATTAAAGCTGATCTACCCCCTAAAAAAATTATTTAAAAAAATAACAACAAATAAAAGTATAACACATGACTTAGGCCTTTATAAGGCTTCTGGCTTACTTTCTTATGGCAGCACAATGTGCCGGATGATGGCATTCCATAGCCCTCTGTTGTTAATGACAGCTAGTATGAACAAATGCTTTATGTTTTATGTCCCCTATTTTATGTTTTATGTCCCCTATTTTAAGTACCCCATAGCTCCATCACTACAGAATGGTCTGATGGCAACAGAGAGGAAATGGTTTAGTCATGAGTAAGGCCTCAGACAAACCAATAGCGTTTGCTGGCCGGTTCATTCCTACTAGGCGGTGCCTTTTGGACCTCATAACATTTTGGGGAAAAAGTATATCAGAAAAAAATATATATATCAGAAAAAGGACATGTTTGACTTTCAGAAAAACGTATTGGGTCAACATATTTTAGGTGCATTTTCCGACCTGTTAGGTGCATAATCCTAAAGTGCATAATCCTAACAGGGTGGAACATAACAGGATGGAAATCTGGAGCCTAAATTAGCCATAGCTCTGTGAGTGAGTAAGATTGAGCTAGCATAATGGTGAACACTTAAACAGGATCTATCAAACATATTTTAAAAATGTGGTTAATTTAGCCTAACAGGTTGGAAATGCATGAAACATGGACAAATAGATAAAACTGAGTGTTTATATTTATTTAGCCTTGCACCATTGTTTTCCCACCAAAGAAATGATGACACTTCCTGAATGTGGTGTTATTGTAGGAAGGGGTTGTTTTCTTGAAGGAGAATTACAACAAACTAACAGGGTGGAAAGTATTATCAGGGACACACATAAAATCTTAAATAAAATAATAATAAATACAAACACCATGAAAAAAAAAAAACAGTGGTGAGAGAGAATTTAACCAGGACTATAAAATAGTGAAGAAAGATTTTAAGTATTTTATAATTTTATGGCTTATATTTATTGTGGAAGTTGATGAATAACAACCGGGAACATGGCAAAAACGCCTACATCCACTGAAATAAAGTGTTACAAATTGATACAATTTCCTTTCAAGATCCATATTTCTTTATTTTTAAGGTAAAGCCTTTTGGAATCCACATTTTACACTAAATAAGAAATGATGTTTCCTGGGGACAGAAAAGACGCAGCATGGTAGGAATGACCCGGCTGAGAGTACTTAGAACCTCTGAACATAGTGCCTGCCGTAATTTGCGAGTGCACACGGTTTTACATGTAGAATTGTGTGATAATGTCGGCAGTCAGAGAGGTCTACAGCAGGTGGTCCCTAAAACAGCGTGCTGAACGATCAGCAGATGAAAGCTAGATCTACATTCGGTGCGATGTGTGCGAGCCTTAAGGGTTCAGACAGTGTTATTGACTACATCCAGACAGTGTTTGGTAGAGCAGTGTGTCAGAGAACACTAACAGGAAAGACGTGGTTTGCTCTGTGAGGTCTGGGAAGTTCTCACTTGCCTCTCTCTCAGCCTGCGTCTCAAATGGCAGCCTATTTTCTATAGTGCACTATTTTTGTCCAGAGCCCTGGTCAAAAGTAGTGTACTAGGGTGCCATTTAGGATGCACACTCAGTCTGAATGGGGCTGTGAATGGTTTATGTGAATTCTGATTGTCTTTGTGTGTGATTAAGGTGTGAGGAAGAGGAGTCAGCACCAGGGGCCTGAGGATATCTACCTGGACGACCTGAACGCTATGGAACCTGACGTTGTCGCACGCTACTTAGGTCCCAAGAGGTATCTCATCATGCCATTCATCCCATGTATTGAAGCCCTATTCCTTTCATAGCGCACTACTTTTGACCAGGGCCCATAGGGTTGTGTTGCAGTGACTGACCAGTCTGTGGTTGTGTCTGTGTGTTGCAGTGAGTCCGAGACGGTCCCTAAGCACTGGGTGGAGGTTGGCCGGTGCGATGGGTCCCAGTCTCCCCAGTCTGTGGGTAGTGCAGCGGCCGACAGCGGGACCGAGTGTATGTCTGACTCGGCTGGGGATCTACCAGACATCACCCTGTCTCTCTGTGGAGGGGTCGGAGAGAACTCTGAAATCTCTAAAGGTAAGGTGTCCTACTGTATGTAAGTGTTATATTATAGTGACTAGGGCTGTGTCCTAAATTGCACCTTATTTCCTATATAGTGCACTACTTTTGACCAGGGCCTGTAGGGAATAGGGTGCCATTTGGGACATAGCCTAGGGCTTCACTTTGATAAGTACGCAAATAACTAACTAGTACACTATTACTCACAAATGCCACAAATAATAATGTGATATATTATATTATATGACAATAGAGATGCTATAATGATGAACAGATTATGATGCCTTGAAGATGCAAATGCTATAATACTTTTATTGCAGAGAAATTCATGGAGCACATCATCACATATCATGAATTTGCTGAAAATCCAGCAATCATCGACAATCCCAATTTGGTGGTTAGAATTTCAAACCGGTGAGTCGTTACAGCCATCATACTCATACTAATTCATATTACTGCATCATTCTAATTCTTAGACTGAAATTTTGAACAGAAGTTCACAATTTGTAGATTTCCTTTAACAAATCACAATTCTATTATTATACAGTTCCTTCAGAAAGTATTCACACCCCTTGACTTTTTCCAAATGTGGTTGTGTTACAGCCTGAATTTAAAATTGATTAAATTGATACCCCATTATGTCAAAGTGGAATTATATTTGTACACATTTTTACAAATTAATTAAAAATGAAAAACTCAAATGGCTTGAGTATCAACCCCTTTGTTATGGCAAGCCTAAATAAGTTCAGAAGTAAAAATGTGCTTAACAAGTCACATAATAAGTTGCATGGACTTTAACATGATTTTTGAATGACTACCTAATCTCTGTACCCCATTATCTTTAAGGTCCCTCAGTCAAGCAGTGAATTTCAAACACGATTCAACCACAAAGACCAGGAAGGTTTTCCAATGCCTCGCAAAGAAGGCCACCTATTGGTAGATGGGTAAAAATATAAAAAAGCAAACATTGAATATCCTTTTGAGCATGGTGAAGTTATTAATTACACTTTGGATAGTGTATTAATACATTTAAATTTTAGTCATTTAGCAGACGCTCTTGTCCAGAGCGACTGCATACATTTTCATATATTTTATTTTTTACTGGCCCTGTGTGGGAATTTAACCCACAACCCTGGCATTTCAAGCACCATGCTCTACCAACTGAGCCACACCCAGGCACTACAATACAACCAGTCACTACAAAGATACAGGCGTCCTTCCTAACTCAGTTGCCGGAGAGGAAGGAAACCGCTCAGGGATTTCAACATGAGGCCAATGGTGACTTTAAAACAGTTACAGAGTTTAATGGCTGTGATAGGAGAAAACTGAGGATGGATCAACAACATTGTGATTACTCCACAATACTAACCTAATTGACAGAGTGAAAAGAAGGAAGCCTGTAAAGAATAAAATATTCCAAAACATGCATCCTGTTTGCAATAAGGCACTAAAGAAACACTGCTACAGACACTAGGAGGAAAATTCACCATTCAGCAGGACAATAACCTAAAACACAAGGCCAAATATACATTGGAGTTGCTTACCAAGACGACGTTGAATGTTTTTGAGTGGCCTACTTACAGTTTTGACTTAAATCGGCTTGAAAATCTATTGCAAGACTTGAAAATGGCAGTCTAGCAATGATCAACAACCAACTTGATAGAGCTTGAAGAACTTTTTCAAAGAATAATGTATACATATTGTACAATCCAAGGGAGCAAAGCTCGTAGAGACTTACCCAGAAAGACTCATAGCTGTAATCGCTGCCAAAAGTGATTCTAAAATGTATTGACTCAGGGGTATGAATACATATGTAAATGAGATATTTCTGTATTTCATTTTCAATAAATGTGCAATAAATGTCTAAAAACAGGTTTCTGCTTTGTCATTATTGGGTATTGTGTGTAGATGGGTGAGACATTTTTTTATATTTAATCCATTTTGAATTCAGGCTGTAACAACAAAATGTGGAATAAGTCAAGGGGTATGAATACTTTCTGAAGGCACTGTATATATAAATATATATTTATATATATATATTTGTTATTATTATTATTTTTACAGATATTACAACTGGACATTGGCAGCTCCATTGATACTAAGTATGCAAGCTTTCCAGAAGAACCTGCCCAAGGTAGATCACACATTATGCATTATGAATGTATGTTATAATGTCAACATTCTGTGCATATACTCATAAATACTTAATGTGTATCTAAGGCCACAGAGGAGGCGTGGGTGAAAGAGAAGATGCCTAAGAAGTCCGGCCGCTGGTGGTTCTGGAGGAAGAGCAGCGTCAAACAGGTAGGGTGTGCGTCCCAAATGGTACCCTATTCCCTATATAGTGTACTACTCAGGGCCGATAGGGCTCTGCACAAAAGTAGTGACTCAACTCTGGACCTCGAAGCCAGTTACACTGCATTTTTTAATTGTTCCCCTCTAACCAGGGACTGATTTAGACATGGGACACCAGGTGGGTACAATTAATTATCAGGTACCCCTGATATAGGGAATAGGGTGCCATTTGGGACAAACAAGTGCTCTTGCAGTACGCTTTAGGGCCACTGGTATTGATACTCTGTAGTACTCATAGTGAAATCGACCTTAACTGAACTGCTTTCCTGATACTATCATTTGTCACCTTAAACAGATGGTCCAGGATTTTCACCCTCTCATTCCTCATGACTCTTTGTTTGTGTTTGGCAGGAAATAGTTCCCATGTGAATCCCATTGGATTTGAATTTCCATTGTAAATTAGCTTAAACAAATCAGAGTGAGGAGAACCATGTGCTAATTGTACTGCATGATCTTAGGAAGGATTTTGTCATGTAGAAAATGGGCAGTAATTACACTATAAATCAAGGAAAAATACTAGGCCATATAAAATGTGTTTTGACATGATGGATGTTTCATTAACGGGTGATTAATGTTGTCTGCTCCGCTTTCCAGTCTTCAGAGGCCAAGATGGACAGACAGGAGTCCCAACACAGAGACACAGAGAGCCCTGTCCTAGATCAACAGAGTCCAGCAGTGCCACAGTGAGTCAGCTTAGCACCACCCTGTCTCACCCTGTCTGTCCCCCACCACCCCTCCCTGGCATTGTTTCACAAGGGGTAGCCCAATTATTCACACGGTGATGTCACCCGCCTCACCCATATTCTTCATGACACCAACCAATGGGAAACTAGATTAGCCCTGGAAAAACAGTGATTCATAGGAAATGCCCCTGAGAACATGCATGAGGGACCCTGTTTAAGAGTCTCATCAGCGTTTTGTCTTTCAGTAATAAATAAAGCTCATTGACAATTCAGAGTGTTGGGATACTGCCATCTAGCGGCAGCATATACAAACGCTGGATTTTTCATTTTAATAACTGATGTCTAGAGAAGCGTCATTCCTCTCTTTATATTTTCAGAGTAACTACTCACTAATCATATTAGTTTAATCTTATACTGTTTTTAGGAAGTCTGATGTTGACCTGAGGTTGTTGTTATTTGACATGCAGGCAGAAAGCAGTAGAAGACTCCTCCAGTGATGAAGAATCGAAAGAGCTCAACACAGTGGCACCTACTGAGCGTGTGCACACAGAGCTACCTGCATCAACCGGCTCGCACTCCTACAAGAAGTCTCTCCGCCTCTCATCTGACCAGATAGTAAGAGCTTATAACTTATAAAGTGATATTATTTAAATCCTATAAAGTGATATTGGCACATAGAGTTGGATAGAGGGCGCATCTTTGCATCCTTACCCTAATAGCTTCTGTGACAGCATGGGCAGCACCATTGAGGGTTATTGAGGGCAAGTGCACCCTCTGTCCAACTCTGTTTGTTAGCACCTGTGAGTACCCAGCAGAGATTTTGGAAACCACTTCCTGTCACACTCTCTCAGGCACCAGTTTATTTGTGTCTTCTCATAGGTCAGTCTGAAGCTGAGGGAGGGGCCTAATGACGTCACCTTCAGCATCACCACCCAGTACCAGGGAACGTGTCGCTGCGAGGGCACCATCTACCTGTGGAACTGGGATGACAAAGTCATCATCTCTGACATCGACGGCACCATCACCAAGTAAAGTGGCCTTCAATTCTGTTTAACTACATTACCCAGTCAGTCCCCTCAGTCTTAACTCCTAGGCTGCATCCCAAATGTCAACCTATTCCATAAATAGTGCACTACTTTTGGACCAGAACCCATATAGGGAATAGGGTGCCATTTGGGACACAGTCAGATTCTCAGGAGACTCAACATCTGATATGGGATTAAGATCCTCTCCTGATCTTTTAATCTCTCATCTTCTGTTTGATGCAGAAGGTCTGTCTGGTAATCAGATAATGGTCTTCTGTCCAAACACATGATTACACATGATTACCCTTAAAGGGGAAATCTGGGATTCAAACAAAGCGGTTCTTCAAGAATAAATGGCCAGTTTACAAGTATAAAAATGGATGTATCAATCCCACACTCTGAAATGTAAAGGTGCAAGTTGGAACCAAATAAGGTTGTTGAGAGCGATGCCATAAGGGAACCATTTTAGGGCACCAGTTTATTTGTGTCTTCTCATAGGTCAAATTAAAGCTGAGAGTCTGCACTTTAACCTTATAGTCATTGCATGATTTCAAATCAAAACGTTTGGAGTATAGAGCCAAAATAAGAAAAAATGCTTTACTGTCCCAATAATTACGGAGGGCACTGTACCTTGAATTTTCTTTCGCGGGTGACTTTTCATTATCTGGATAGACACTTGTGGTTTCTAGCTAACGTTACACCAATCAAAGTGGAGCATGTAGTGAAGCAAATCTTTAGTGGTCAAAACCATTCGTCTTTGGGCGACGGGGGGGAGCGAGTTTGCAAAATGATATCATATCAGGCAACCATTTATAAACTGGTCATATTATTTATTTTTTAGTACAGACTAGCTAAAAAAATAAGTGAAAATTGACAAATTATCCAATGGATTATGAGAATTTTCTGGTAAAAAAGTGGAGGTGCAAAAACAGAAGTTTGCACCCCCTATTTTTATTTGCTCCATGGCTCAGGCGGCCAAGTGGACCCAAGGCTGTTTGGCTCACCTCAGTCGCGAAGAGGAATAACTTTGAAGCTGTTGCTGATTAATATACAATGCCATGCTGGTGGGTGGTAACATTAAAATAAAACCCAGCCCTGAAATAGTTTTATCATAGGAAAAGACACCACATTCACATGGATTTGCACAAAGTGGGCAGTTTGGATTTGTCACTTCAAGCCCAGATATATCATACTTTGACTAAAATGATTACTTATTGACTTAAATTTTTATGCAACATCATGGGGTAAGCTCTGGCCATCATCTTTCAGCTTGAAAAAGTGGATTTCTACTGGTGTGTGCGTTAATATCCCCCCAAATTCTCCCTTTTCTTAGGTCGGATGTGTTTGGCCAAATCCTTCCTCAGCTTGGGAAAGACTGGACTCATCAAGGCATCGCTAAGCTCTACCACTCAGTGCATGAGTAAGTATGCCCCAGTCCAGGGCCTGCGTATGTATCAAGCGTCTCAGAGTAAGAGTGCTGATCTAGGATCAGGTCCCCCCTGTCCATGTAATCTTATTCATTGTGACCTAAAATGCTAAACTGATCCTTGTCAGCACTCCTATTTGAGTTGCTTGATACATATGGCCCTAGAACTACCATTTCTCACATCCACCACTTAGTCAATGCATGAATAATCACATTCCTGTTTCACATAAAAAAATACAATTCCAGTAGTTCAACAATTAGAGAGCGTGGATAGGATAAGGATCTAATGTAGGCTCTATATTCAAGTTGAGATTGCAGTTATACTTCAATATGTATGCCTACTGCCTTCAGGAATGGCTACAAATTCCTGTACTGTTCGGCGCGGGCAATCGGCATGGCGGACATGACCAGAGGGTACCTGCACTGGGTGAATGACCGGGGAACCATCCTGCCTCGAGGGCCCCTCATGCTGTCCCCTAGCAGCCTCTTTTCTGCCTTTCACAGGTACAACTCACTCTTAACTTCTCAGTTGGTTCAGTCTGCTTGGAATTGTAATAACGTTGTAATATAGTTACATTTCAAGGCTTTTAGTTTCCTTTCTATTTAACCTTCTATCAGGGAGGTGATTGAAAAGAAGCCAGAGAAGTTCAAGATTGAATGCCTAACAGACATCAAGAACCTCTTCTACCCAAACACACATCCCTTCTACGCAGCCTTTGGAAACAGAGCAAATGTAAGCTTTGTTTTACCTTCTCATTGTGTACTTATTTTAGAATATGCTCAGAATTAGGGTGATTGTTAAGACTACTCTTCTGTTTCTGGCTCAGGATGTGTTTGCCTACAAGCAAGTGGGTGTACCAGTGTGTCGGATATTCACAGTCAACCCCAAAGGAGAGCTCATCCTAGAGCAATCGAAAGGCAATAAGACTTCGTAAGTAGCGACTTCACAGGACTATAATCATAATGACTGTTTATCTCTCTGTATGTCAGTAGTGTGGGTTTCTTTGGGAGTATTTTGGCCAGATTCAATTGCCGACAATGCACCTTTTAAAGGTGTTCATGGAGATCGTCTGATGTTCGCAGAGATCACATTCACGGTAAATGCTGTGGATGTAGGCTCAAGCGTATATTACCTTCAAAGTCTAGTGCAGTGCGCTTGTCGACAACGTGCCTTTAAATGAATCCCGACCTTAGTCAGTAAGTACAGTAACTGTTGTCTAACCCCTTCCCTGTCTTTCACTGTAGGTACGGCCGACTGAGTGAACTGGTGGAGCACGTTTTCCCTTTACGCAGTAAGGAACAGAGCGCCACCTTCAGTTTCCCAGAATTCAGTTCTTTCTGCTTCTGGAGACAGCCAATCGCTGAAGTCTGTCTTGAGGAGCTGCTCTGAAACAACCAATCGATGAAGTGTGTCTTGAGGAGCTGCTCTGATTCTGATTGGACAGTTCCCACAGCTGTGGTATTATCAGGTATTAAGGCGATAACCAACAGACACTTTGGTATGGTAGATGCACTTTGTGTCTTTTGGATGGAATGAAATCACTTGAAATCAACCGCATTCATTGAAATCGATGTAAGCAATATTTGTATTGCTTAATAATTGTATGGGTCTTTCCATGATGATTGCTTGTACTGCCTTAACTGATGACTATACTATGTGTCTTCTGATGCTGAATCATATTCCATTGTTTAGTGCTCCACAGGTTTAATAGCATTCATTGATAAATCAATAAGAACTGCCTCTCATGATCAATTTAGGCATACATTCCAATACAGACTGTACAGCCATTTTACAATACAATGTGAAGAGAAAGAAGACAGGCTTAGTTGTAAGGTTAGTTAGTTATTTGGCTTGAGTGAAAATGCACTCCCTATGTTGGAGTGTTCCGCTGTTTGGGAAGGCCTTACGGTATAGTGTATGCATGCTATGCTAAGTTTTAACTAAGGGCTCTATTCAATCCTTATCGTGGAAATTCAGTGTTACAGTGTGATTGAAATTTAAAGGCAATGTTCCCGCATTATCAGAGATAATTGCATTCACGGTAAACGCTGCAAATGTCGGCTCAATCGGAAGTTACCTTTACATTTCTATCGTGCAGTCTAACGCTTCAGCGATAGATTGAATCGAGCCTTAAGATTTTGCACAGAGCTGCCAGTAGAACTGGCACTAGTCTTAGATACACACATACTGTATGATAATAGATAGATTTAAGTGATCTGAGCAGGCTCAATGTTTTAGACATACGTACAGATGGCTGCAGTGAGGTTTAAGGCGATGGAAGCCCTTTCTAGATGCTGCTGACACAGGGCACACAGCACTGGAGCTTTTGGATGGAGACAGACTAATATGCACTGAAAGCACAATTATATGTTTTAGCAGACGTTTCATGGGTTACCTTTGACAATGTTTGTGTTATGAATTAATGCTTCTTTATGGGATATATTTCTATTGTTATGGCTTGGTTTGTCTAGTATATTTAGAACTATATTTAGATTTCTCTTGGCATTATTATACCGTTGTATTTAATGAAGTTCGGAGGCGTTGCAGGGTTCCTCAGTAATGATACCATTCTTTCTATGAAAGTGATATTTTGTGTGGAGTGTACACACATCTTAACGCTCTGGTATTTGTGTTTTTCAGTAACTGCTTTGATGGTGTTTAGTGTATCTATTTTACAGTTCTCACACTCTTCAATACCTTTATTGTTACTTGATTAAGTATTATTTTTGAGTGTCACTATGTACATTGAAGTGTATGTTTGGGATATGAAAAAAATGGATAAAATCTAAGATTCCATGCAGATGTTTGCAATGCTTATTTCATTAACTTGTTTTGGAAAAGGAGGGTGTAACTTTTGGAACATCATGAACGCATCTTTTCATGTGCCAACAATCTGTCTAAACAGCACTTACTGTTAAAAACAGTGTGACTTTTTGCTCAGAGCTTCATCAGATAAATATATATTTTTTTATAATGGAGTGTTGCGCCACAAGTTGTTTTAGCGCGAAACCCTCATTTCAAACAGCACTCGCTGTAATTCATGTAAGAAACACCTGCGATACCAAAACAGACAAGTATATTAAAAGGGATACCTCCCCAGAGTCAGATGAACTCGTGGATACCATTTTTATGTCTCTGTGTCCAGTATGAAGAACGTTATAGATTGTTTCGCGAGCCAATGCTAACTAGCATTAGCACAATTCATGGAAGTCTATGGGTATCTGCTAGCATGCTAATTGCCAAAATCCCTTAGTATCCCTTTAACCATTCGGTCATACATTTATAGTGATACTATTAATTAACAATTGGCCTATATAATAATACAATAGTTAATAAACACTCATGGCCACCATAAAGACAAAGCTTTTAGTACTGGTCCCAGGGGCAGAATTGAAGTCCTCTGATTCAAGAAAAGGCACCAAAACATTTCATTTTCAGGCATTGGTCCTAAAGAACATTGTGACTCATTGGGAGGAGGTGAAATACAAAGACCTTTCAAAACAACTGTCCTTGTTTTAAAGTTCTGCATCCCTTGTCAAGTAGAAAAATGACCATCTTATTTGTTTAACAGTAGTTCCTCTAACAACACTATGTACAATTGATTGTCCTCACATAAAATAGTAATTTGCAAATACCAAAAATTACACAGGTTTAAAATAAACGGTACAACAAATGTAAACAAATTGAACACACACATCAACACAAGCATACATTCAAACATGTAAAAAACGTCCCATTTAGAATATAATCACTAAATATTGATACTCCATAAATGGCAGCAGCCTGCCCCGTTCCCTCCATAAGGATCTTATGATCAAATATTTGATAAACATTTTTATTTTTGTATGAAAGCTCTGTCATAAGATTGCTTTAAAGTACTATCATGAGTTAATCTACTTGTTTTACTAAAATACCTGTAAGGCATACCCACATCTAAAGTATGCTATGTTGGGCATACTACATCTAAAGTAGAACTGGTGTTGTTTTAAGGTTGGAGTTTTATAAGGCATTTTCTTTGGTGGGGTTCTCTTTTTTAGGGGATAACTTTGTCTATGACATGGGGCTATCTTTTTGAGAGGGTGGGGTAGAGAAGCACGGCGCTAAACGTCGAGAGGACCTCTGTGTTCTCTGAGATGGCAAGTTTGCCTGCGGTCATGACTAAACCTGCCTTGTCCCCACGCTTCAGAGTGAGAACCAGGCTCAGGGAGGCAGAGCCTCCGCAGTCACAGCCTCCACCACCAATAGCAGGAAGGTAACCGGCCGTATCCAGCCTCTGGATGCTGTGGTTGGACACAGAGAGCACTGCCTCCACCCTGGCACCTCTCTGGGCTGTCAGCACAGCACTCAGCAGGTAACGGCCCTCCATGGGAACATTGAAGATGCCTGGTAGAGTAGGAAGAAATAAGGAACCTCAGTCAACGACAAGGGGACACTCATGTCAGCTGTGAGAGGGACACATACAAAAGTTGACATAAATCTTGGACTTATAGTCTTGATTATTTGGGTCGGTTGCGGTTTACATTAAGGTTAGTGTGGTATGTGTGAATGGCGCCGGAGAAGATGGCTGCCGTTTTACAGCCCTCTAACCAATTGTACTATTATGTGTGTTTTTCCGCGTTATTTGTAATTTATTCTGTACATAATGTTTCTGCCATCATCTCTTATAACCAAAAAGAGCTTCTGGATATCAGGACAGCGATTACTCACCTCGTATTGGACGAAGATTTTTTCTTCAACAAGTCAGACGCGAAGGATATCCTACAGACACCCGACAAGGCCCAAATCCCCGTCATTCGCATGAGAAAGAGACGGAGATATCGTGGACGTAGGTTGGGGTGCCTTGTAAGGATCCGACGGCGAGCGAGTAAACTGCCTCTTCCATCAATCCTATTAGCCAATGTCCAATCATTTGAGAATAAATTGGATGACCTAAGATTACGGTTATCCTACCAACGGGACATTAAACACTGTAATATCTTATGTTTCACCGAGTCGTGGCTGAACGACGACATGGACAACATACAGCTAGCGGGCTATACGCTACATCGGCAGGATAGAACGGCTGACTCCGGTAAGACAAGGGGTGGCGGTCTGTGTATATTTGTAAACAACAGCTGGTGCACAAAATCAAATACTAAGGAAGTCTCAAGGTTTTGCTCGCCTGAGGTAGAGTATCTTATGATAAGCTGTAGACCACACTATTTACCAAGAGAGTTTTCATCTATATTTTTCATAGCTGTCTATTTACCACCACAAACCAATGCTGGAATTAAGATTGCACTGAATGAGCTGTATAAGGCCATTAGTGAATAGGAAAACGCTCATCCAGAGGCAGCGCTCCTAGTTGCCGGGGACTTTAATGCAGGGAAACTTACATCCGTTCTACCTAATTTCTACCAGCATGTTAAGTGTGCAACCAGAGGAAAAAAAAAATCTAGACCATCTTTACTCCACACACAGAGACACATACAAAGCTCTCCCTCCATTTGGCAAATCTGACCATAACTCTATCCTCCTGATTCCTGCTTATAAGCAAAAACTAAAGCAGGAAGCACCAGTGACTCGGTTAATAAAAAAGTGGTCAGATGACGCAGATGCTAAGCTACAGGACTGTTTTGCTAGCACAGACTGGAACATGTTCCGGGATTCTTCAGATAGCATTGAGGAGTACACCACATCAGTCACTGGCTTCATCAATAAGTGCATCGATGATGTCGTCCCCACAGTGACCGTACGTACATACCCCAACCAGAAACCATGGATTACAGGAAACATCCGCACTGAGCTAAAGGGTAGAGCTGCCGCTTTCAAGGAGCGGGACTCTAACCCGGACGCTTATAAGAATTCCCGCTATGCCCTCCGACGAACCATCAAACAGGCAAAGAGTCAATACAGGACTAAGATTGAATCGTACTACACCGGCTCTGACGCTCGTCGGATGTGGCAGGGCTTGAAAACTATTACAGACTACAAAGGGAAGCACAGCTGCGAGCTGCCCAGTGACACAAGACTTCCAGACGAGCTAAACCACTTCTATGCTCGTTTCGAGACAAGCAACACTGAAGCATGCATGAGAGCACCAGCTGTTCCGGATGACTATGTGATCACGCTCTCCGTAGCCGATGTGAGTAAGACTTTTAAGCAGGTCAACATTCACAAGGCCGCAGGGCCAGACGGATTACCAGGACGTGTACTCCGAGCATGTGCTGACCAACTGGCAAGTGTCTTCACTGACATTTTCAACATGTCCCTGACTGAGTCTGTAATACCAACATGTTTCAAGCAGACCACCATAGTCCCCGTGCCCAAGGACACTAAGATAACCTGCCTAAATGACTACCGACCCGTAGCACTAACGTCTGTAGCCATGAAGTGCTTTGAAAGGCTGGTCATGGCTCACATCAACAGCATTATCCCAGAAATCCTAGACCCACTCCAATTTGCATACCGCCCCAACAGATCCACAGATGATGCAATCTCTATTGCACTCCACACTGCCCTTTCCCACCTGGCCAAGAGGAACACCTACGTGAGAATGCTATTCATTGACTACAGCTCAGCATTCAACACCATACTGCCCTCAAAGCTCATCACTAAGCTAAGGATCCTGGGACTAAACACCTCCCTCTGCAACTGGATCCTGGACTTCCTGATGGGCCGCCCCCAGGTGGTAAGGGTAGGTAACAACACATCTGCCACACTGATCCTCAACACGGGGGCCCCTCAGGGGTGCGTGCTCAATCCCCTCCTGTACTCTCTGTTCACCCATGACTGCATGGCCAGGCACGACTCCAACACCATCATTAAGTTTGCAGACGACACAACAGTGGTAGGCCTGATCACCGACAACGATGAGACTGCCTATAGGGAGGAGGTCAGAGACCTGGCCTTATGGTGCCAGGATAACAACCTCTCCCTCAACGTGACCAAGACAAAGGAGATGATTGTGGACTACAGAAAAAAAAAGAGGACTGAGCACGCCCCCATTCTCATCGACGGGGCTGTACTGGAACAGGTTGAGAGCTTCAAGTTCCTTGGTGTCCACATCACCAAAGAACTATCATGGTCCAAACACACCAAGACAGTCGTGAAGAGGGCACGACAAAGCCTATTCCCCCTCAGGAGACTGAAAAGATTTGGCATGGGTCCTCAGATCCTCAGAAAATTCTACAGCTGCACCATCAAGAGTATCCTGACTGGTTGCATCACCACCTGGTATGGCAACTGCTCGGCCTCCGACCGCAAGGCACTACAGAGGGTAGTGCGTACGGCCCAGTACATCACTGGGGCCAAGCTTCCTGCCATCCAGGACCTCTATACCAGGCAGTGTCAGAGGACGGCCCTCAAAATTGTCAAAGACTCCAGCCACCCTAGTCATAGACTGTTCTCTCTGCTACCGCACGGCAAGCGGTACCGGAGTGCCAATTCTAGGTCCAAAAGACTTCTCAACAGCTTCTACCCCCAAGCCATAAGACTCCTGAACAGCTTATCATGGCTACTTGGACTATTTGCACTGCCCCCCCACCCCATCTTTTTACACTGCTGCTACTCTGTTAATTATTTATGCATAGTCACTTTAACTCTACCCACATGTACATATTACTTAAACTACCTCAACTAGCCGGTGCCCCCGCACATTGACTCTGCACGTGTACCCCCCTGTATATATAGCCTCCCTACTGTTATTTTATTTTACTTCTGCTCTTTTTTTCTCAACACTTTTTTGTTGTCGTTTTATTTTACTTTTTTATAAAAACATTAATGCACTGTTGGTTAAGGGCTGTAAGTAAGCATTTCACTGTAATGTCTGCACCTGTTGTATTCGGCGCATGTGGCCAATACAATTTGATTTGATTTGATTTGATTGGGACAGTGTTGTAGTAGTTACCTGTGTGAGGGTCGTAGTGTCCCCCATCGTTCACCAACACCTTGTTGAAGCGGATGATGCCCACCTCCCCAGGGAAGGGCAGGAGGTTGAGACCAGCCGAGAAGGACACCCGCTCACCTGACACACAGGGTTAAAGTTTAACCCAAAGTGTCTTCAGACAGTATTCACATCCCTTTACTTTTTAAATGTTGTTGTGTTACAGCCTGAATTTAAAATTGATTACATTGAAAATGTTTGTCACTGACCTACACACAATACCCCATCTCAAAGTGGAATTATGTTTTTTGAAATGTTTACAAATTAAATAAAAATGAAAAGCTAAAATGTCTTGAGTCAATTAGTATTCAACCCCTTTGTTATGGCAAGCCTAAATAAGTTACATAATAAGTTGCATGGACTCACTCTGTGTGCAATAATAGTGAATGACTACGTCATCTCTGTATCCCACACATACAATTATTTGTAAGGTCCCTCAGTCGAGCAGTGAATTTCAAACACAGATTCAACCACAAAGACCAGGGAGGTTTTCCAATGCCTCACAAAGAATGGCACCGATTGGTAGATGGGTAAAAAAAAAAAAACATTGAATATCCCTTTGAGCATGGTGAAGTTATTAATTATACTGTGTATCAATACACCCAGTCACTACAAAGATACAGGCGTCCTTCCTAACTCAGTTGCCGGAGAGGAAGGAAACCGCTCAGGGATTTCAACATGAGGCCAATGGTGACTTTAAAACAGTTACAGAGTTTAATGGCTATGATGATAGAAGAAAAGTGAGGATGGATCAACAATATTGTAGTTATTCCACAATACTAACCTAATTGACAGAGTGAAAAGAAGGGAGCCTGTACAGAACACAAATATTCCAAAACATGCATCCTGTTTGCAACAAGGCACTAAAGTAATACTGAAAAAAATGTGTTATTTTGTCCTGAATACGAAGTGTTATGTTTGCGCAAATCCAATTCAACGAATTACTGAGTACCAACTCTCCATATTTTTAAGCATAATGGTGGCTGCATGATATCATGCTTGTAATTGTTAAGGACTGGGGAGTTTTTCAGGATAAAAAATAAACTGAGCTAAGCACAGGCAAAATCCTAGAGGAAAACCTGGTTCAGTCTGCTTTCCAAAAGACACTGGGAGATGAATTCACCTTTCAGGAGGACAATAACCTAAAACACAAGGCCAAATCTACACTGGAGTTGCTTACCAAGAAGACAGTGAATATTCCTGAGTGGCCGAGTTACAGTTTTGACTTACATCTGCTTGAAAAGCTATGGCAAGACCTGAAAATGGTTGTCTAGCAATGATTAACAACCGATATGACAGAGCTTGAAGAATTTTGAAAATAATAAATGGGAAAATGTTGCACAATCCAGATGTGGAAAGCTCCTAGAGACTTACCCAGTAAGACTCACAGCTGTAATCGCTGCCAAAGGTGATTGATTATAACATGTATTGACTCAGGGGTGTGAATACTTATTTAATCAATATACATTATTTTTTTTTCATGATTTTTTACAAATGTTTGAATTTTTCTTCCACTTTGACATTAGAGTATTTTTTGTAGATCGTTGACAAAAAAAAAAAAGACTATTAAATCCATTTGAATCCCACTTTGTAACAACAAAATGTGGAAAAAGTCAAGGGGTGTGAATACTTTCTAAAGGCACTGTAAGTCACATTGACACAGCTTGTCCCCAAATTTGGGACACACATTCTCACTGTCATTTAAAAATATAAATAATTTTTAAAAAAATAAGTGGTTATTAGGACAACTTTTGTCCTTAACTGACTGGAATACTATGGCTTTAATCTTAACAAGAGACTGCTAAATATATTGCCTGTTAAAGTTAAATACGGCTTGTGCAATGACGGTCTCAGGGGAATGTGGGCAACTGTTGAAAGAGGTTCATTTTCAGGAGACTCACAATTTTATATTCATAGTAAATGAAATCAAATGAGTCAAAATATCACTTACCAGAAATCACTGGTATATTAGGCTTTAAAGACCCTGTAGAGGGTGGGGAAGCTATAAAATAATCAAGATACATTTCATGAGGTTTTGAAAGAATGTAATTCATCTTGCAAACATACCTACTTGCGCGTGTGTATGTAGGGGTGCACATGCATGTGTATTCTGTACGTGTTCTTAGCCCCTCTCCCAGCTACCCCTATATCTCACCTGGTGCTCCAGCGAAGCCCTTGAGGGAGGTCATGCTGCCGTCGGCCCCCTTGGGCGGTTTGGAAGAGATCATGATTCCGGGGGCTCCTGCCTCCCAGGTCTCCATCATATGTGGTGGTAGGGCCCCATCTGGTATTGGCCCAACGGGCAGGACAGGGCTCTGAGGGACAGGCTTAGTCTCAGTGGGATTACCAGACACCACACCACCATGAACACCTGAAAATAGGGGGTAATGACAAGCCAGGGGGTAAAGAGAAAGAAAGGATGAAGGATAAAACCCTGGACCAGCTGTGGAGAGGTCAACACGTGTTAACAAACCAGCTGGTGCCGTGATGACTCCTGACACTGACAGACAGTAAGACTCTCCCAGTCTCACTTCCCCCTGTGTCAGCATTAAGTTAAGGCCCAAAAACCACAATGAAGAAAATGTGTCTGGTCAAAAGAGAAGCATCAGAGAGAATTCCTTTCAGACAGCAAGGTCAAGCTGGCATTGCTCTGTGCTTCACGAGTGAAAGGTTTCACTTTCCTACCCAGTCAACCTCCCAGTAAATCCAACCTCCCAGTAAAAGCTGGTTTGTGGGAACTCACATTAGTATGCAGGGGGCCCTAAGCAAGATTTGGTTAGGGGGCGGGGACCCCACCCACCTCGCGGGCAAAACATTTGTGGCCATCCTCTCTTGGCGGCAGTCGGGCCATTTTTTGTTGTTGTTGCAGAAAGGCCTTCTTGAACATGTGAACTTTCATGTGCCTTAATTACAAACTTGTATGGGATCCGTAAATATGAATATAAATGTTAAGTTATGAGCCTTGTTTAGCCAAGGAGAAAGCACTGAGCTACAGTGCCTTCGGAACGTTTTCAACCCCCTTCACTTTTTCCACATTTTGTTTCGTTACAAAGTGGGATTAAAATGGATTTCATTGTCATTTTTTAGCAACGATCTACACAAAATATTACTTTCAAGTCTTGCCATAAATTGTCAAGCCAAAACATTCAATGTCGTCTTGGTAAGCAACTCCATCCAAAACCTAATTAATAACAATGCTCAAAGGGTTATTCAGTGTCTGCTTTTTTATTTTTACTACCTATCGGTGCCCTTAATTGCGAGGCATTGGAAAACCTCCCTGGTCTTTGTGGTTGAATATGTGCTTGATAGTCACTACTTGACTGAGGGACTTTAAAGATAATTGTACAGTATGTGTGGGGTAAGGGGTGGAGCAGTCATTCAAAAATCATGTTAACCACTATTATTCCATGCAATTTATGTGATTTGTTCAGCAAATGTTTTACTCCTGAACTTATTTAGACTTGCCATAACAAAAGGGGTTGAATACTTATTGACTCCAGATGTTTCAGCTTTTCATTTTTAATTAATTTGTATTATTACGGGATATTGTATGTAGATTAGTGAAACAAAATCGCAATTTAAACCATTTTAAATTCAGGCTGTAAGACAAAATGTGTAGAAAGTCAAGGGGATTGAATACTTTCAACCCCATTAAAGACAGGATAATGGATGGGTTGACCATGCTGATGGTTAGCCATGCGTTTACATGTTAATTCTTAAAGCGATGCGTGGCGCTAAGGCTTAAGAGGGTGTGAACTATGCTGAATGGGTGTAAACAAAGATGATTAAAATTTCACTTAAATATCACTTACATTTTACATAAGCCCCCATAGAGAAATCTGGTCACATATCTGAGTGAGAGTTTTCTAACTAAATGAATAGGTGCGTCCTGGAGGTCAGGGCCCCTGGGCACATGCCTGGTCAGTAGTTAATCATGATTACTACTAAGTTTTAGATAGCTGGCTAGACTAACTTACCTAGCAAAACAAAAACAAATGTTTTTTGGTCGTAGTCTGCCAGTATGTCATCGTAATGGCTTGTGAGTTTTTTCTTATTGGCCCATTTCCTGTGTACTTTTTAGCTACAGTACATCTTCTCTTACACATTTTTGGGGAATTCCACTCTCTACCCTGAGTATTTTAAAGCTTTATTAGACGGGCATGAAACAGATGGGGAGGTAAATAGGTGAGAGATGCAGAAGGAAAGGAGTAAAAGAGGATTAAACCCCGGTCTCCAGTGGGGAGGCATTATGTTCTGTACTAGTGTTACCCACTCAACCACGGCTCTGCACTCTTTTACACCTTATTACTGTACTTTCTCTAGTCATTTTACATGAAAGTACAGTTATTGTATAGAATGTTTTTCAATACGCCTGAGAGATTCTAATTGTCATTAGCGTCTAAACAGTGAGTAAGTCGCTCTGGATAAGAGCGTCTGCTAAATGACGTAAATGTAAATGTAAATGTGTTTAGGTCACTGATGACAGGGAGAGGTAATTACATTTACATTTACGTCATTTAGCAGACGCTCTTATCCAGAGCGACTTACAAACACCACACCGCAGACACAGCCACTGTGACAGGAGTAAACTGTTGGTGCATTCCTGACAGCCAGAGCTGAGATGACTAAAACAAACTGCACACGAGTTTATCAGCAAATCATTAACCCTCTCAACATTGTTCCGGGGTGAAGTTTCCCCTAGGTACAGATCTAGGATCAGCTTCCCCTCCCCCAATCCTAACCTGAACCATTAGTGGGGAATATGCAAAAGAAACCTAAGATCAGTGTATCCAGGCAGGGGCAACTTCACCCTACTCCTCATTATTCTCCTGAGCAGTCAATGAGATAACAGGCATATAGGGATTAGGCTGTACATGAAAGGCATACCTGAATACCAAGTCACCAGGCAGCCTATCCCCCACCTCAGGCAACAGAGATCAGTCACTATAAAAGCCAGGACAACATGGTCTGGCTATTAAAACGTTTATCTAGGATCAACTTCCCCTCCCCCAATCCCAACCTTAACCATTAGTGGGGGGAAATGCTAAACTGACCCCGAATCAGTGTCTATGGGCAACTTCACCCTACTCCCTAATAAACACTACACAGAGAGGGGACTAGAAGCAACCCGTAAAATACCACAGGAAGGAAGACTGAGGCAGAACTTGCACGTGCGTGTTTAGTTTAGTTTGAGTGTGTGTTGGGCCTTGACTCTGACTGAAAGCCAATCTCAGCCTAAATCGCAGGGTAATGATATAATATAATATGCCATTTAGCAGACGCTTTTATCCAAAGCGACTTACAGTCATGCGTGCATACATTTTTTGTGTATGGGTGGTCCCGGTGATCAAACCCACTACCTTGGCGTTACAAGCGCCGTGCTCTACCAGCTGAGCTACAAAGGATGGAGCTCTAACCTGTGCATGTGCCATGATTAAAGAGGTGGATGTAACCAATTGCAGCTGGGGGACCCTGGCTTTAATCGCGGACCTGGAAGGAGTGTTACAGTGTATGCAGGAAATCCTACACTTATATATATATATATATATATATATATATGCCATTTAGCAGATGCTTGTATCTAAAGCGACTTACAGTCATGCGTGCATACATTTTACATATGGGTGGTCCTGGGAATTGAACCCACCACCCTGGCGCTACAAGCTAGAAAGGACCACGGACTCACAGCCAGCCACTCCCTCCACCAGTCTGAGGATATGTCAGAATCCCTGTGGTAACCCATGATCCATACCACATCAGTTTAGTCTACTTTCAGCGGAAAAATAGATAATTGAATATCTTCATCTTAAGAAATAATAGAAGAAAATAAATGTGTATATGTATTTTTTTTTTTTTACTCAGTCAGGGTCTCAACTTACTGTTGAGAGTTAGAATAGCAGAATACACAAGGTGCAATTTCAAAATTTGGTTGTGCATCAGCAGTTTCTCTCAGCAGTCACTGATAGTCGGTCAATTAGCCCATGTCAGCTAACAATTGTTAGATTGCCAAATTAGCTGGCCGCTAAACTACAGTGAGGGAAAAAAGTATTTGATCCCCTGCTGATTTTGTACGTTTGCCACTGACAAAGAAATGATCAGTCTATAATTTTAATGGTAGGTTTATTTGAACAGTGAGAGACAGAATAACAACAACAAAATCCAGAAAAACGCATGTCAAAAATGTTATAAATCGATTTGCATTTTAATAAGGGAAATAAGTATTTGACCCCTCTGCAAAACATGACTTAGTACTTGGTGGCAAAACCCTTGTTGGCAATCACAGAGGTCAGACGTTTCTTGTAGTTGGCCACCAGGTTTGCACATATTTCAGGAGGGAGTTTGTCCCACTCCTCTTTGCAGATCATTAAGGTTGAGGCTGACGTTTGGCAACTCGAACCTTCAGCTCCCTCCACAGATTTTCTATGGGATTAAGGTCTGGAGACTGGCTAGGCCACTCCAGGACCTTAATGTGCTTCTTCTTGAGCCACTCCTTTGTTGCCTTGGCCGTGTGTTTTGGGTCATTGTCATGCTGGAATACCCATCCACGACCCATTTTCAATGCCCTGGCTGAGGGAAGGAGGTTCTCACCCAGGATTTGACAGTACATGGCCCCGTCCATCGTCCCTTTGATGCTGTGAAGTTGTCCTGTCCCCTTAGCAGAAAAACACCCCCTTAGCATAATGTTTCCACCTCCATGTTTGACGGTGGGGATGGTGTTCTTGGGGTCATAGGCAGCATTCCTCCTCCTCCAAACACGGCGAGTTGAGTTGATGCCAAAGAGCTCGATTTTGGTCTCATCTGACCACAACACTTTCACTCAGTTCTCCTCTAAATCATTCAGATGTTCATTGGCAAACTTCAGACGGGCCTGTATATGTGCTTTCTTGAGCAGGGGGACCTTTCGGGCGCTCCAGGATTTCAGTCCTTCACGGCGTAGTGTGTTACCAATTGTTTTCTTGGTGACTATGGTCCCAGCTGCCTTGAGATAATTGACAAGATCCTCCCGTGTAGTTCTGGGCTGATTCCTCACCGTTCTTATGATCATTGCAACTCTACAAGGTGAGATCTTGCATGGAGCCCCAGGCCGAGGGAGATTTACAGTTATTTTGTGTTTCTTCCATTTGCGAATAATCGCACCAACTGTTGTCACCTTCTCACCAAGCTGCTTGGCAATGGTCTTGTAGCCCATTCCAGCCTTGTGTAGGTCTACAATCTTGTCCCTGACATCCTTGGAGAGCTCTTTGGTCTTGGCCATGGTGGA